AAAATGGGGGACCGGATCTTTCCGATCTGGGAGGAGAGTGAGAGGGTGAGATGAGGAAGGGAGACGTGGAGCAAAAAGTGTAACATGGCAATCAGCGAAGATTCAGGGCAGCGAAGGAGCTCGAATACAAGGAGGAGGAGGAAGGAGATAGGACGAACTTTTTGAATGGACGGGCAGAAAACTCCGTCAAGCAAGAAATTTTTCATCTTGGGAAAGACAACTCGAGCTCCGCTCGCTAGAGGACAAACGAGGACGACGCCGATGCATGGCTGCGGCAGCGTCAGGTCTCAGGGTGAGGGCAGGAGGTCCAAGAGAAATAAAGGGAGCTGGAGACATGAAAGGAGGACGAGAGGTGGACAGGGAAAGAGGTGGGAGGACAGGGAGAAGTAGGGAGAGGGGAGGGAGATAGGAGGGTAGATAGGCAGGTATGAATGTATGTATGCAGGTAGGTAGGAGGGAGGGAGGGAGGGAGGGAGGGAGGGAGGGAGGGAGGGAGGGAGGGAGGGAGGGAGGGAGGGCTGATTTTACCTTGCGGCCGGCAAGGTCGACGGTAGCAGCAGTTCCCAAGGACTTGCCGTATAGGATGATGTCATCGGACCGCAGCTTGAGGTCGCTCTTCATCCAGTCATACACCTGCAAGACGAGGAGCAGGAGAGTTCAGCAGATCCAGAGACTCTCCTGCCCTCTCTTCCTCTCTCCCTCCATCTACTCCTGCTCCATCTACTCCTGCTCCATCTACTCCTGCTCCATCTACTCCTGCTCCATCTACTCCTGCTCCATCTACTCCTGCTCCATCTACTCCTGCTCCTCCCCCTCCTCCCCCTCCCTGTCTCCTCTTCTTACCGCTGTGCTGTCACTGTAAAGATGCTTCTCCGCCGGATCTCCGGCTGCCATTCCATACCCCGTGTAGTCATACGTCACGATGTCAACCTAGTCGAACATCATCATCATCATCATCACCACCACCACCACCACCACCACCACCACCATCGCTCTCATCTCCATCATTCTCCTCTCACCATCTACATGGTGTTCCAATCTCTACCTCTCTCCCTCCTCTCTTTCTACCTCATTCGTACCCTGTCCTGCCCTCTCAATCCCTACTTCCTTCTTTCCCTTTCTGATTATTTCCCTCCTCCCTTCTTTCTACTTTTCACTGCTCTGCGCTGTTTCACCTTCAGCTCCCTGCCTGCCTGCCTGCCTGCCTGCCTGCCTGCCTGCCTGCCTGCCGCCTGCCTGCCTGCCTGCCTGCCCTCTATCATCACCTGCAGCTGCTCGGCAAACCATTCGCAGAAGAGCTTGTTCACTCCAATATCTTCTGCATTGCCATGGCTGAAGAGGAGCGTGAACTTGGGCCTGCCATGGCGTCAGCCGCCGCCGCCGCCCGTTGCTCATCACTTCTTCTTGCACTTGATGTGGAGGACAGGGATGGTCGAACCCTCTGACGTCGTAACGAACGTCGTCACGTCTGAGCGCAGATCATCAGCGAGCAAGCTTCGCAACCCTCTGCCTCCTCACCATTGCGCGAGTAGCTGCAGGGATCAGGAGGAAAGAACGCGAGTTTGGCTACCAGATGATTTCCCATCCCCGTCACTGTCGAGACCAGATCCACGTCAGCGCTCTACCGCGAGGCATCTCGACAACCTTCATAGATCAGCTGATTTCCACAGCGATCTTAGAGACTGCAAGTGAGCATCAGGAAAGGAATACTGTGTAGTGACTGGAAGGTGCCGCCCCCCCCCCTCTCCTCCTCCTCTCTCTCTCTCCTCTCTCTCTCTCTCTCTCTCTCTCTCTCTCTCTCTCTCTCTCT